ACGCCAGCTATCGTACCTAAACAGAGCGGTGGGGTGGGTACCGGTGGGGCCGCGCGTGCGTTGTCTGGCGGCGGCATTATATAGCAAGGGTTAGTGCGGGAGGGTTGTGCATCTGGCGTTAGCTTTGTGAAGCTTGTGTGTGAAACGCGAAGTGTTTGAGGGCTTACATGATGACCAGCTTTGGCCGTCTGCTGGGAGTGACGCTGAGGGCGGCCGCGTCCAGACCTCACCTCACGTGTCGAGGTGCTGGACACCTGCAGAGGACGCTGTGCTACCAGCACTATTGCACCGTTCAGAGAGCGGTAAGTGCTGACATCCTGAATCCGTAGTCGATCCTCGCCAGCGTAGGGGGGCTGCCGGGCAGCCGTGCGAGGAATCGAAGTGCATTTGGCCGAATGTCAGTTTCCAGTAAGCAGCTAGCCGATTGTTTCCAGAATGGTCGAGCTGAATGCTGTTTTCCCGGCATAAAACATGTATGCATATTTTGTATATCATGCACAGCTCCGTACCCTCAGCTTGTTTGTGCGAATATGCTCGAAGTCGCGCAGCGCATCGGTCCAGCTGTGTTCAAATGCCACTGTGCCGGACACGCTGGATCTTTACCTTGGTTCCTTGGTTAAAAACAGACTTTCCTGGGCCCAGGGTCCCACAGGTCTTTTTTAAAATCACATATTGCGTTCTGCGTAACGTCCCAAGCGTGGAGGAAAGCTTCACAAGATGGAATCTCGCTTCCGCAAGACTCCATCTGCGCCGCTGCGGGCTTCGTCGGTGATGCGAATGCGGTAGGAAGGGCTTTCTGCACAACTCCGACCAATCACACGGTGTTAGGCGAATGGCATGGTGTGGGTAGACAATAAACTGATAGTGTACATTTATTAGTCCTCGCAACGGCATGAGTGTAATACTGTGCGTCTATGTTCAAGGTTTTGGGTGGGAAATGACACCTTTTAGTGTGATATCAATAACGGAGTAGTCTCCATGGCCGTTTTTTTTTTGCCACGGACGCTGCACTTGCTCGCTGGCTGAGGCACGGCAGCTCCGTTTTGGGACCCTCGTGAAGGCCCCCGCCTGCTGCGGTGGAAGGTAAGGGGTGCAGTCTTCCGCAGGCTTCGGCTTGCAAATAATTATTTGTCCCGCGTCGCTGCAGTCTGGATGCAACAGCTGCATCTGCTTCCGTCCCAGGGCTCAGCTTGAGGACTGAGAAAACTTGAAGCTACCGACACTAGACCACATACAGTGCACCCAACATTACAACGTGGACCAATCTGTCTGTTAAGGCGGTGCTGAGAACACAACACGACTGAGATAGACGGTTGCAATGCGCTCTCGTTGGGGTGTATACCGCCCTCAGCGTGATCGATCTACGGGTGCTGATTAGTATACTCCGCACACAGGCTATTGCGATCCTGTGCAAAGCCGGCCGCAAGTCTTAGCTGTCTGACGGCGGCCGGCAACACGATACCGTTTGTCAGTTCTGACTGGTGTACCACTGGGCGTTTGGTGATTAGATTTTAAGCAGATGAGCAAAACATCTATCTATATTTTTACAATTTCAAGATCCTTTCCGTGAATCTCCAGTTCTTTATGGAGATTTCGGCTGCATTATGTATGAAGGAGTCCGATCTGGTACGTTACAGAATAGGTGTCCGCAATCGACTTGTGGCATCTGATTATTTACCGCACAGAGTGGTGTCGACTGTGTCAAATGCAATGGGCTCAGGTTCAGTTTGCCAATTGCCAAGCTAGTACAATTACGCTGAGTAAATATCGCAATGATGCTCAACTTTTCATGACCCGTCGTTACAACATAAATACGCTTGCTGTCCATACCGCTCCTCCATGTCTCGTCATGATTCGTTGTCATGATTTATTTGGTAAAGTCTATTCGTGGCGAAGTATTCTCGGTATTTTTCCTATTTTTCTGCGTCGTCACTTTAATACACGACCATGAAAGTGGATGATTTAAATGCAAAGAAATGACCGTCATTGAGGGCTTTTCGTGTTATGATGGCGATCTGTGGTTTCATGCATCTTTGGCCGCCTCAACCGATGTTTGATGCGGCTTGCAATCGCTTCCCAGCGGCGTTTGTCGCGCATTTTCGCTATGTTAGGTTTTGGAAATAATGGGCGGGGGAAGCGCATAACGTTTGACCTGTATGACCTGATGTGACCTGTAACGCGTCACATGCACCGATGAGTTGGTAGCTACCTGATTCACTGTACAGCACCGTCTTCCCCTCCGTTGTTACACACGCAGATATGAAAAAAGAGTGAAGGCCAATTTCACTCAGTTTGCCCCAGTGACCTGTTTTCACCCGTCATAGGTCATTTATGTCGACGCTTAAGAATCGCGATCGGCTGTAACTATACACGAGCCATCCCAGGCCACCCTCTACTTTGTCGCAGCAAGTTTGGTTTTGAAAATAGACAAGGGGCTTTGGGGTCACTTCCGGTGGCACGCCAGTGGGAAAAACGGCTGCCCCCCCCCCCCCCTCCCCCGCCTCTTCCAGCATGGGTTGAGGCGATTCTGTAACTGATTCTGCGCGTCAGGCGTCGATAGCTGGCATCTCGAGCCAACCAGCCGTTTAGCGGATCTGTGCTGGAGCAAGTGAACTGGCTCCGCGCGGCGCAGCACGGCCAGCCGTGTTGCATCAGAAACGGCGCCGCGAAAGTGACGGCGGGCGACAAATTCAAGGCTCGCGCACCGTGTCGCGGCGTCGAGCAGGCTGCTGGAGCGGCCGTTTGCGTCAGGCGGGCACGGGTGCTCCGGGGCCGGGTCGGAGCAGCTGTGCTGCCCCGCCAGGCGGCTGTGGCGGCCAGAGGGGATCCGAACCGGGCGGCCTCTCCGGCATCGGCCGGTCATCGCTCCGTCGAACTGCCGGCCGACGGCCGACGGAAAAACACGGCATCGAGTCCGACGGTTCCGCGGACGAGGCGTTCAAAGGGATCCGCGTATTGCCGACTGGCTTGTTCCTGCTTGGCGTTGGGTGTTGGTGGCTTCCACGGAATCCGGTCGAATGTTTCACGCGAACTGTGTGAGTGTTGGTACAGGTTGCGGGAAGGTGGGCTGCCCTTGTAGCCAGCACGAGGACACTCAGGGAACTGTGAATAACCGGAGGCCGGTATGCAAGATAAGAGAACCGCGGCTGAGAGAACCGAACCACCGCTAAAACAGGATTATTCGTTTTGTGCAATCGTAAAACATTCGTAAAACACTGTGAGGCAGCGCTTCTGCAAGGTGTCGTGTAAAGTAAATTTGATTCACTGGTCGTTTACCGTTGCAAGTGATCTTAGCTCTCAGGAAAAGCTGCTCTTATAGAGGGCCTTTTGCCCCATAATAATGGCCTCTAGATGTGACTGTGGACGTCAGCCGCCTGTGCTCCGAGACTCTCTTCTCTTCTCTAGACTCTCTTCTCTTCTCTCATGGTGGAAGAGATTCTCTTCGAGAATCTCTTCCACCATGGCCGTGTTGCGTGGTGGGAGGTGGTTGATGTGCTCCTTCCGAGATGTGCCCTTGCTAGTGGCATCAGACGGTCAGCTGGGGATTCACGGCGGGCACGATGTCCTCTGGGGCGCCGAGAAAAGCCCTTGCGGGATGGTTGGGACTGAATATGGTGCGTCGGGCACCGTTCTGATCGGCAGGAGGTATCCTACTGGGGGTTGGGGACGGGGCGCATCGGTGGTGGGGCGAGTGCTGCTGAGGGATTTAGACGGGTTACGTGACATTGTTTGGGTTCTGGCTATCCGTTACTTTGCGTCAGCGTTGGCAGTCAGGCGTCGCAACGGCGCCGAACCAACACCGTTTGAAAGAAAAGAATGTGGACGACAATATGATGGAGGAAGTCAGGCTCTGTGTGTGCAGCCGGCCACGTGCTCTCGAGCATGAACTCGATCGACCCGTTTGGGAGCGTTCTGAGGACTTATGTCCGATCTCAGTAGATGCGGCAGTTGATGGTCTGACACGAACTGGATGATTTGGAGGTGAATGTGCCGTCTACAAGTGACTAAGCAGTCCAACGCTGTTCTGCAATGAATGACACCAGTAGAAGTTATCGGACAATGAAACCTCTTCTAATCCGATCATGAACGTCATTTGCCGTGACATGGACTGAGGGATTTGACCGTTAAAGACACTCAGGCGTGCAGCCTACTTCGGTGCGACAAATTTCCGCCGAGAAGATAAACCACCCAGAAGATATGCGTTTTCGCAATACCTAATCTTAGTCATAGATGACGTAAGCCATTAAAAATTCGTCAGTTTGAAAGGCTACAACAGCCACGACTTGCCGGGTCCGTACCCATCCAATTTCCAGCCGTGCGATTGGCGAATCGCGAGTTAAGGCGGTGGTGAACGGCTATGGAGCTCTCAGGGAATGTTGCTAGGAGCTCTCACGAAAGACGGATATTTTAGTGACTGTTGACCCACTTGTTTGGATTCCGAGGGTGTCTGGCTCCTCTCAGCGAGGTTTTAGCACCGTCACACGATGATACATTATTTTTATGACCGCCCGCTGCGTACCGAATAGGCGGCTTACGGGTGTGTGATGTGCTGTGATAATGCCGCTGTGATACCTGTCATTATTGACAATGTATATGGGCATATGGAGTGTCTCTTGTTTGTCATGCTCTCACTGCGGTAGGTGGCCAGCGCGGTTGCCGTGTGGTTCGTGAGCACAAAGCGTGCTGGCCCGCTCGCCGTGCGGTTCGTGAGCACAAAGCGGGCTGTCCCGTTCGCCGTGCGGTTCGTGAGCACAAAGCGGGCTGCCCCGTTCGCCGTGCGGTTCGTGAGCACGAGGCGGGCTGTCCCGCTCGCCGCGCGGTTCGTGAGCACAAAGCGGGCTGTCCCGCTCGCCGTGCGGTTCGTGAGCACGAAGCGGGCTGTCCCGCTCGCCGTGCGGTTCGTGAGCACAAAGCGGGCAGGCAAGCATGTTTCGTCATCCGCCGTGTCCAGCTGTACCCCGCTCTCCGAAGTCCGGACTGAGCCGGCCGTTTTCCCGCCCCGTTTCCCCAAACCAGGCGCGACCTCATCAGCTGCGCTCCGTTATGAAAGCCCGCTGCGGCTGCCCATCCCATGACGCAAGAGCTGGCGTCAGAGCACGGATTTCCGCTGCGGTAAGCCGCCAGCTAACGCACAGAAGGGCCCACACGGGCAGGTGGAGGGGATGTACGCGCCACTCCGGATGTATTCAACTAGGAGTTCAACGGTGGGATGTAGGACAGGGACGGGCATAGATACACAGTTCTGCGAGGCAATGTTCGTCTATCACGTTACGAATACCGCTGTCTCGGTAAAGGAACAGGCCGAGACGACACTGAGCGATTTTTCAAAGGCCCACACCCGACTTGATTTGGTCTAACAATCATATTATCAACGTTTTAATGGGTGTCTGAATGGGGATCAGGTGTCCCGTTTCGTCTCAGTTCCAGTGGCTTCCAACGCAGCTTAACAAGTATATCTGCACACCACTATACCTTTCGTGTTGACCCAAAAGACATCGGTCACCCTTCACTTATATATGTTCTTTCCTCTGCCGTCACTGTTTCGTGTACTAAGTACACAACATTATTGGTCCTATACACAACATGCATATTCCAACAGCGGCCTGGCTAACAAATTAGAGGCAGTTTATTTCGCATTGCTGAGACCTCTTCTAGACATTGAGATGGCAAACCTGAAATCTGAACGCCGTTCCTAACTTTTTTGACTTTGTTGATGCCAGTTAAACCTGTGATATTTGCACTGCAAGTTACTTGTATTTTGTTTACCACTTGTTAGCACGCTGTTGTTCAAAACTTAGCGTGGTGTTTCTGCAACCTGTTCCTTACTATTCATATGCACTTGCACATTTGTAGATTTGCCACACTAGCCTGCTGTTGAGCATATTTCCTGCAGTGTTGTACTCATTTGGGTAGTTTATTTGGTTCAGCACATGATTGTGTATTGCTAGTTTATCCTTCGACTATGTTATGTATCACAAAACATGACAAGGCTCCTAAAACACTGCGTTGAGGCTCCCCAAAACACCGTCCGAATGGACGCTGTAAACACTGTATATTAAATAAAACTTCGGACGCTGTAAACACCGTCCGAATGGACGCTGTAAACGCTGTGTATTAAATTAAAAATTCGGACGCTGTAAACACCCGTTCGAATGGACGCTGTAAACGCTGTATATTAAATTAAAAATTCGGACGCTGTAACACCGTCCGAATGGACGCTGTTCAAACCTACTCCCCGAGTGGAAGCTGCTCAAGACCGCTTCCGAATGGATGCTATTCACGACCACTTTCTGAATGGATGGTGTTCAAGACCACTTCCCGAATGGACGCTCTCCACGACCACTCTCCAATGGGATGCTGTTCAAGACCACTCTGTTCTCGCTTTGAAATGAACGATTCTGTCCGTGCAGCCAACCTTCTGCTTATCCCACTATATTTTAACTTCTAAATGGGACGTTTGGGAAGCATTTTCTTTTTTTCTTTTTTTTTTTTTTTACTTTTCCTGAAATTATTTAGCGTCGGATCAGCGTTTTCTCACACCCGACGCCGATCTTGTATCTTTTACCAACGTCAGCAACTATGTTTTAACGCCATAAATTCGTCTAAAACTGTGCTGTTGATCAACTATTATTTACTCCTCCTTCAAATACAAAACCATCGAGGAAGTCAGACTTTTCCACCAGCTTACAGCAGATGGATGTGGGATCGATCTGTAGTCACAGGACTTCCTGGCGTGTCCTCCTTCATGATACGGGTAGGTTAATGCTCAGTTGATTTCGTACTTTTTGCCGTTTGCTCTTAGCATATGTCCGACATAATATGTTGTGTCCTTTAATGGGATCATTGAGCCTATTTTCATATTCCTGTTCTGCCCGCCCACAGGCCCGCTTCACATTTAGACGGGACTTCACTACATGCCGATGGCAATGTCCCGAGAGTTTCTGCCTCTCAGTCTTCTTGTGCACCGTTCATTGCTCTTTTCTAGTCTTCTCTTAGTCATGCTGGCAACGTTAACAGTCAAAACACCCATCTTCAGTTGGGTTTGTGTGAATGACTCAATACACATTAGGAAAGCTCCAACAAATGATGAGCTGCGTGTTGGGTCGTGTTCAGACGCATGTTCAACTTCAGGGGACCCTGCTTCTCTTCGGTGGCCAGGAGTCCCACCACCTTCACTGTATTTCGTCTTTGTGAAGAGGCTTTCGTACATATGCTGTGACGGCTTTGTTTGGAATTGCCGTGGTACCAGAAAATAGCGGTGGGGGGGGGGGGGACAGGACTTTGTTCAATACCACTCGCTACGAGTAGCATGGATATACAAACAGCTGCATTTTCAATTGTCAGCAGTAATGTCATCCGGTAGGAGGCTGGCTGATGTGTGCTGTGGAGGGGCCTGGGCCACGGGTCGCGCGAGTCAGCTGGCCAGGAGCAATGCATGCCAGACGCTGGTCTCGGGGGCGCCAGTTGGACGGCTGCACGTTCGCCGGCGGCCGGGGCGTGTCCCGACATCAGTGTGAGCCGACTCGTGCGCCGTCGACTGGACGGCGTGATAGCAGCAGGACTCGGCAGACCCCGCCGACTCAGACTGGCGGTCCGCGCAGGCCGCCGCCGCCGCCGCGCCCGCCCGCCCGCCCGCCCGCCCGCCCGCCCGGCCGGCCAATCCGCCCCGCTCCCCGTCCGCCGACGACTCAGACCGGCGGGCCGCCCCCTCCAGGCCCGCCGCCGCCGCCCGCCCGCCCTCCCGCCCGCCCGTCAGGCCATCGCCCACCCACTCCCCGTCCGCCGACTCAGACCGGCGGCCGCGCCCCCCCAGGCCACCGCCGCCCGCCCGCCCGCCCGCCCGCCCGCCCGCCCCCCGCACGCCAGGCCATCACCACCCGCTCCCGTCCGCCGACACACTCAGACCGGCGGGCCGCGCCCTCCAGGCCGCCGCCTCCCGCCCTCCGAGCCGCCGCCATGAGTGCATCCTCGTCTGCCCAAATACACGTGATGGTTGCGAAAGTTGATGAATCACGTGACACCCTGTGCTGTCTGAACATGCGGGCAATTGAACGCCGATATGGCATAAACTTCCACACCCATCGACCTCGGGCTTTCCGCTGCGAAGCGCTGCCTCCAGCCCTGTACAACGCCCGAAGATGAACGCTACGCGAAGGAAACACGGCTAGACCATTGGGCGTGGACGTGACGCGTGGCAGACCCCTCTATCGCGCTCATGCACCGTCCGCCTTACGTTGCAGGGCTCGAGCGAGTTCTGGAAGCGGAAGATGGTGACGCTGTTCGAGCTGCACGACACGGACGGCGACGGCCGGATCGACTGGACCGACTATGTGCGAGTGCAGACCCGGCTGTGCCAGACCACCGGCGTCGGCATGAAGGAGGAGGTGGACGCCATGCTCAACTTCCGGGTACGGCGCCGACATGACGGCGCGGCGGGGTCGAGAAGGCTTACCGATTGGCCCAACCGGGTTTCCTAGTTGTCAGGGACGCGAGCATACGATTGCAACTGAGGAAATGACATGTGTTTTCTTTGTCCGAGTTGTGTCGATTTTGAAAGCACCAGGGTCGAGTGCCCTGTTAACTGTACCGAATGACTTGCGTTAAGAAGGATCGAGGTTCGCTTCAACCGACGGTGGCCTTGGGGCGGCTATTTCTTGCACGGTAGCTTCAGATGGGACTCCGATATATCCACGATAATATTTGCCATGGCTCGAGTCTGGCCGGGAAGCCCTCCATATGCCCCGACTGGGTGCGGAGGCCGGCTCGCCTCGCTGGCCGAGGTGTAGGAAGGCAGGCGCAGTCCATTGGGGCCCGCTTGGCCAGGCTGCCGCAGAGCCAAGTACGGCCCGCCTTGCGTTGAGCATCCGAATGTGCATCGGTCTAGTGCGGGAAAGGGTCTCGCCTTGACGTCAGAGCAGTCTGATGCGGACATGGTGCAGCCGCTTGGTATTCATGAGCACCACGTCGTGCCGTGTTTATTTGCATAGCATGCGACGGTCTGATGATCGGCGGCGCGGTCGGCTCAGCTGTGGCTCACGCCTGATGCAGGCCCGACAGCCATCCACAGATGGCTGTATTCACCGGCGTCTTTGCGTGTCCGTGTGCTGTGCCGTTGGTCGTGTGCACCGGTCTCCGTGTGGCATATCCTGTACCGCGTGCGGCGGCGCCCCCGTGCGGCGAGCGCTGGAACCACCGCTGATGCGCCCCCTTCGTTACAGCGCCTCTGGGAGTACTGGCTGGGGTCGGTGGAGGACCCGCACACGGCCATCACACGCGAGGAGTTCGTCAGGTCGCTTCAGCACGCCATCAACCAGCCGGCCTACAAAACCACCGAGAAGAAGCAGATGCCGGTGTGGGCCTTCTTCTATAAGGTGGGCAGCCGTCGCGGTGGGCGCCAGTACCGAACCGCCCGCTGGGCCAGCGTGGCACCGACGAGCCATTGACATGCCGAGCGCTCGTGGCAACCGGCTTGGGTTCGCACCCGGCACGTGGAATACATGCATGGTCCGCTGGCGAAATGGGGTCAGCGGCAGGCGGCCGGCGCGTGGCGACGCTGCATGCCGGCCGTTGGTCAGCGCGCCCACGCCAAGCCGCCCGCGCCCGGCCACCGTGTTTGGCCTCGGCTGATTACCGGCGCGCCGGCCGACCGGTTTTACGGGGGTCTGCGGCGACAGTGGCGGTGTGGCGTGCGCGCGGTACCGGCCGCCGCCGCCGCGTGACGCCGACCCGACCGCGCCGCCGGGGCTCCCTCGACGGTCGCCGGGTAGGGCGGGTCACAGTGTGGGGAGGGGGGGGGGGGGGGCTGCGCCGGCCGGGGCGCGCGCGCTGGCGCTGGCGTCGGGCCGAACCCGGGTGGGCTCCGTTCCCGGCTCCGCCCAGGCGGTGTGCGGAACGCTGACGGTATCGACAGATCGCCGTTGGCTACGCTGGCTGCTTGAGGGTAATTTTGTGTGACACGCATCTGTCATTGTCACACCTGCTTACTCGCAAACGTGCCCGAGTCGACGGCTACGATAGCAGTTGTCTCACGCAGGCAGTCACGCACCCATCAATCAGCGTTAAATCATTGCGAAAGCCGCTGCAGTGTGGTGATAACGTGCATTGCGCTTAGCACCAGCCACCGAGCGGTCATAGGCGGGCAGGGCTGTGGCCGGCTGCTCCTGAATCCGTACAGTGTTCGATGATCACCGACTGTCGGTGTTTAGCACTCCAAAGTGGCCTATAATCACGGTTTAGCAGCCATCAGCGTTGCGTCTGCCGGGGCTGATCAACACATTGCCGCGGCCAGGCAGGCAAATGGACGACGCGTGCAAGCAAGTGTGCACAGACCCGGCCAATATTGTGACCCTTTGCACCACGCTGGTAGCGCCTTCGCCCGTTTCCACACGCCATGTTTCGTAACACCCCGCCGCCTTCCCCACTGCCATGACGCTACGCGAAACCGGTAGCGGCTTGGGCCGTATGCGCCGCATCACCGCTCAGTGCGGACCATCCAGCGGTGCGGCGCCATACCCGTGCACGGCGTGTACCGCGGCTGCTGTCCGCCATCGTTCGGACGCGCCCCTGACAGCGTCGATGAAGGAGATCCAGCGGGTGAGCCGGGTGAGCGGCGGTCCACGCCGACAGTGCCCGCTCCGGTAGAGGCCGGTCCGCCCTCGCCGTCCGTTTTTGTGCCACTCGGGCTGGGACGTGACGCGGCAGTGCTCGCCGGCGCCGTCGGCTGTCGCCGCGAGCCGCCGTCTGCCCGTTCCGGCCGAGCTGTCACGGGATGGGCCTACGGACATGCGCGCTGTCTCACTGGCGGTCGGTGGGGCTGAGCGCGGTCGGTGCGCGTGCACGGGTCGGACGGGGGGTGTCGCCCGGCGGGCGGCGGAGGCCGAGGCGGCAGCTGGAGCGGCCGTCTGCTCTCCCGCCGGCCCGGCCTGGCCCTGGTTTTCAGCCGTTGACGTCAATGGCCGGGCTGCGCGCTGATAGCCGGGCCCGAGCGGCGTCAGAGGCGTACCCAGAAGGCCGGGCCACGGGCTGGTGCAGTCCGGGGCGAAATAAATAGTCGATACAAGCTGTGTTGACAGACCACCGTCTGAAGGACACACGCCGTGGGCTCCCTGGGCGGGAGCCGGCGCTGCATGCGGCGCCTGTGTCCGCCGCTGTGCGGGAACCGGCTGGCTATGCGGCCATGGCGGTGTCCCACGAGCGCGCGCAAGGCGCCGCCCGCCGCCCGCCGCCTGCCGCCTGCCGCTGGCCGCGCCGGCCGGCTGGATAACATCGCACTGCGCCCGCTCCCTGCCGTCCCATCTGTGTCCTCTGCGTGCCCGGTCTGACCTGTGGGTGCTTCAGGCCCGGCCGCCGGGGCGTCTGCGCAGTGGCCGGGCGGCGGGACCGGCGGCGATGACCGGTGGCATCGCGGATGCTGGGTGCGGCTCGCGCGTCCCCACAGCCGGCGCCGCCGCCGCACGGCCGGCCGGCCGGCCGGCCGGCCTCCACGCCCGTTCAGTGCGCAGTTGGTGCACACTGCACGGTGTCACTGGCCGAGGCGGGCCCGGCATGACAGACGGCCGGCACGGATAGGCGGCGTACACGAGGAGCGGACGAATGGAGCACCGCCCGGGCCACAGCGGCGCGAGAAGGGCCGCGTGGGGTCCCGCCGGCCCGGAAATTGCCAGCTCGGTGCTGGCCAAGTCTGAGCGTCAGTATATCAAGGACATTTGACAGACGGGTTTCAGTTTTCTAAACATATGGTGTCGTGTTCGCATGTTTGGCTCGGAGGCTGACGCTGTTCCGGTATTGATTTGCAGATTTGCGCCTGTGACGTTTATAGCATTGCCAGTACCATTTTCATTAGCTAGCGCTCAATGTAGCCTTGGCAATATAATTGGTGAACACAAGGAGCACTAGGAGAGTGAGGTCAGGATCTGAGGACACGCCCTCAACATTGGATATGCTTATGGTGCTGATTTGCTCCGTCCGATAGCCATGGTTTTATTATCTTGCGAAGCATGATTCGTATGAGCGAGCGATGAATACGATTCGTACAGCGAGAATCCGCCTTGGCCACGGTGGCAGCGGACCAGAGGCCCCTGAGCGTCGCAGCGAGATGTATGCTGGGCGGCGTCGTGTGGCACCCGGACCTGCCTTTGTCCAGGCTGCACGGCCGACGGCCCTGGCAGCCAGCGCGTGCCCTGCCACCCGGCCGTAACGGCGGGGCGCGCCGTGCGCCGCCGGTCCATTAATGCCGCTCGGGCTCTGAGCGGAGGCCAGCGCGCCATGATCCGGCGGCCAGCCTACCCGGCCGCCAGCTGGCCGCTGCCCAGACTGGACCGGCGGCGCTGGTCGCAGAGGGGTGGGGCCCGCGTCTGCCGGCCGCCGGCCGCGCCGGACAACGGCCGCCGGCGGGCCGCTCTTGGCCGGCCGGGACCGGTCCGGACGACCGCGTGGTATCGCCTCGTTGGCGGCGGTCCAGCGGTGGTCGCCCGAACGGGCGGCGCGTCGCGTCCAGCCGCCATGTTTATTGGATCGTCGAGTTTGTCGCTGCATAAACACCGGCAATCAACAGATCGGTATGAGTTCACGCGTCCATGTGTAATGGTCGTAATTTGTAAACATCAGGCTGAGTGTATCATATTCGCGTGGGCGGCCGCTGATCTGCGACAAGGCGGCCGCATGCCGTAGACAGGTGCCGTGCGCGGCGCGCCGCGTTGAGCATCGGGCCACTATCTGGGAATGCGCTGCGCGGTGAGCAGTGGCGGTGAGCTACGGTGAGCAGCGGTGAGCGCAGCCGACTCACAGATTCGCCTGGTCGGCCAGGAACGCCTTGATCCTCTGCAGGAGCTCCTTCTTGACATCGTCGGGCACGAGCGCGCGGCCGCGTGGTGTGATGTCGGTGACCAGGTCGTCGACGGTGATGTTCTCGGCGCCCTTTTCCTTGATCACCTGGCGGCACTGATCCTTCATCTGGTCCTGCCAGCCGCACTCGGCCAGGCGCTCCTTGAGCAGCGTCTTGAGTCGCTCTTTCTCGCCCATCTCGATCAGCTTCTGGTTGATGGAGCTCTTCATCTGCGCCTCGGTCTCTTCCGTCGCCATCTTGACTCGGCCTGCTCAGGGAGGAGACCGCACCCGGCGGATGCGTCCGTCCGTCGATGAGTACCGGGCAGCGAACGGTGTTACGGCGTACGGTGAACGGCGAACGGTGAACGGCGTTAGGAATGAGACGCGATGGGATGCCAGGCTGAATCGCGACGACCTTTCTTCTTGAGGTGTCCGGGTTTGTGGGCTGGCCGGCTGATGGTCTTGGCACGTCACTTCTCACAGTCCGCTATTCGCTCGGCCGGCTCGCAGGTCACGCTCGCTGCGCGGCCTGCGCCCACAGACAGCCAGCGGTCGTGGTGACTGCACCATGGCGCGGTGCAGTGCGGCCGCCGCCCGGGTCTCCATGGCGAGTCGGCCAACACAGGCCGTAGCTGGGGGCAGCGGCGGCCGCCGGCGTCGGCCGTCGGCCTCGCGCGTGTGAAGGCCGGCGACCCGGCCCCATGTAGCCGACGCGGTGGGGGACGGGGAGGGGACGGGGTGTCGCCTCACTGTGGGTGTGTGCAAATATGTGAGTTTGGATTCGCTCGAACGGCATCGGCCGTTCAGCGCCGCCGGTTGCGGCTGATCGGAGGACTTCCTCGCTGGCTTCTTCTCTGGGGGCGGCCGTCCCCGTTCTGTGGGACCGGCCCACTCCCCGCCAGACGCCCGTGGCCGGCGCCGACCGGCTGCCGCGCCGCCACGACGGTCGGCGGAGCCTCGCTCTGTCGGGCTCCGCGTGGAGCGAGCGCTGAGCTCGCTGGTCAGGTGCCCGCATGCTGTTGACGCCGTGGCATCCGGTGGTGACCCCGGGGGCGCGGCGAGGTCGGCGGGGCGTCACGGGACGCGGGCCCACCTTCGCCGCGCACCGGACGCGCGGCGTCCCGCCGGGGCGGCGCCCGGCCCGGCCCGGCCCGGTCCGGCTTGTCTGGCCGGACCAGGGGTGGCGGCAGGCGAGCGGCCCGGCCCGGCCCGGCCCGGCCCGGCTTGTCTGGCCGGACCAGGGGCGGCGGCAGGCGAGCGGCCCGGTCGGGCTCATCTGAACGCTGAACCGACGGATGGCCAATGACGGACTAGCGTTCGCCTTGCGAGATGAGGCGGATACGGCTGTCATTCGGATCGACACACTGCGTCGCGACTTGTTGATGTCTTGGTGACCTTTTTCAATCATGTGCGACTGGATCGTATGACGGGATGTATGGCGGCGTAGTCTACGGGCGCCGGCATGCCAGCAGCTACTGCGTTGCCACGCTACGCTGGGTGCTGCGCGACGGCCGCACCGCGAAGAACCAGTCCGGGATCGCTCGGTTCCCGGCACTGCGTGTCCATCGCCGCGCACAGCTCCACGCCCGCTGTGTTCGCCTGACCGTGCCATCTGGCAGCTGGGCGGGCTCTGTTTTCATTGCGCGGCGGGCGAAAGGGCAGGCGTTACGTCGCTGTGTGGTCCCTAGCTGGATTAAAGCCACCACTCACCGGGACTAGCAGGTAGATGGACTGCTACCTAAGTGATCAGAATATGTCCATCTGGCTACCAGGTCAATCTGTCAGTGCGATCGTGCGGGCCAGATCAACCTTGATATTTGGGCGAAAAAATTTCCGAGACCAAAGGCCATTTGAAACAAGTGGGCACCTGCACTAGTACTTGATTCAGTACGCATCAAATCGCACGATGATTCAGACCAAGAAGGAAAACTTCAAGGATTAACCTTTAATCTAACAACGTCGTCTTGCGCCATTGACCTTGTTTGTCTTTTGCAAGTTTGATAGAATATCCGTAACAACCTGTGTGACAGAGTTTTTTAAATGTACTTCTTTTGGCGCTCAAAATCATGATATTTTGTCACTGAATACAAGCCAGTTTTTCTTTCAAATGAGCTTGCAAGATGGCTCACAGGCGGCTCAGAGTGCACAGGTGCACAGGCCATCGAAGGTGGCTCACAGCACAGTGAATGATTTAACCAGGGACCTTTCTTACAAAACATCGTTAATGAATGCATCAGTACCACACTAATGTGTTGCGTTGCTCCCCTTCGCCGTTTTGCCGCGATCTCACAGTGGCCGCGGGGTGGTGGTCCGTCTCGCCCAGCGGCCAAAACACGCCGGGTCGCGCCCCCGTGTCCTGTCACAGGTGAGGGCCGCTGGCGCGCGACTTACGACCCCGTCGGCCGGCCGGCCACGGCAGGCGGCGGCGGCCAGAACGTTGTGTTTGGCTGGCTCGGCGTGTCGGCCGGGCCGTGCCGACCTGGTAGTGTCGTGGGTCATGTCGCTGGCGGCCGGGCCGGGTTGGGGGAGGGGGGGGAGAGGTCGTCTCCGACGCGGCGCCGCCGACGCCGTCGGCGTGCGGGGGGTCGGCGGGCTGAATCGGTGCTAGTTACCCAAACACGTGGTTGGGAGCGGCAGCCGGTGTCCGGTCTCGGTGGCGTGGCGGGACAGGCGGCGCCGCTTCAGCAGCGGCGTCTATCAGCGGGAGTCAGCGCGCTATGTTTACGCTCCGCGCGGTGGGGTGCTGAGCGCAGTCACCAGTCAGACGCGGCAGCGCTGGTTGTTTTTCCCATCACGTGGTAGAAATGTTGTGATCGTCTCCCGAACGCCGATAGATGCTGGCGCTCTGTGATCACTGCGCTAACTGCGCAGCGCGGCGGTGTGGCATATGCTGATGACTCCCCCGTCTTGGCAGAGAGTTGTATTGGCCACACAAACGGTGGATGAGTTGTCGTTGGTGCAGCCGTGGGTGCTGAGGACACACACGTCTTGGGAGAGAGTTATATTGGTCCCACAAACGACGACTGAGCCGTTGAGTGTGACGCTGGTCCCCCGGACGACCGCCCCAGCCAGGACAGGCCAGTGTCTCGTCGCTCAGCAGCAGATCGCGGGCACCGTCGGCTCGGCGGCGCAGAAGTGCGCGGCCCGAACCACAACACGAAGGTCATTGTTGCTGGTAGTGAATGTTCCTGAGGCGGCCGTCCGTCGCGCCCCCTTCGTCCCATGAAACGTTGATGGCATTTGCTGCTGTGATGCCGGCCTGCTGCTTAGGATGGACTCGTTTAGCCGGGAGCCTTGGGACTGGACCAAGGGCCTGCAGAGCCGACGCCGTGAGGTGTAATCTATTTGTGTAGCCCGGCCCAGCCCGACTGGTGTGCTGGAAAAGTGATTCGGCCAAGTTCAGCTTACTGATGGACTGGCGGCCTGCAGTGCCAAATCGCAGAGAGTTTGGATAGCGATGTACAGACATAACTGATGAGATCTGCAGTTCGGACCCGACTTCCTAATCACCTCGCTGCAACCTCGGCACTTCGCAGCGTGCTCGTATTTCGCCCAGGTGCTTCCACATATTCCGCCATGTTACTGCTCGAGTTCACAGCGCGTTGCCTGACTCAAGCCGGCCTGTCAGCTGTTTAAGAGTGTCAGCCGTTCGGCGCGCTCCGCAGCAGGCGCGTGTCCTGAGCTGTGCGGCGTTCGGCGGCAGCCTTGGGCCGGAGTGTTGCAGGGCGCCCGGTCGAAGCTGGGACGGTCTCGGCGTGCCCGTCGGTGACGGGCTCGTGACGGACGTCAGGGTCGGCCGGAACCGTATGGCGGGCGCCGCGGCCGCCCGGCCGTTTCCTCGTCTGCGGACGCCCCGGCGGCGCCCGCTGGCTGGGGTCAGGCGGGGCCGGGGCCAGTAGCTGACGGGGCCCCGAGCCTCAGCGGTGGAGGACCGAGGCCGGTAGCTGACAGAGCCCGGAGTCTCAGCGGCGGAGGACTGTGGCCGGTAGCCTCAGCGGCGGAGGACCGAGGCCGGTAGCTGACAGAGCCCCGAGCCTCAGCGGCGGACCGTGGCCGGTAGCTGACGGGGCCCCGACAGACTCGGCCGAGCCTCAGTGACGGAGGACTGTGGCGGGCCCGCTTTGCACGTCTGTTTGCTGTCTCGGGTCGTAGCGGACAGTTTTTGCGACCGTGTGATCCTGTGGCCGTTGGCTGTTTGTTTGGCTGGCAGGGGGACGTGATGCTCTCTGCCCCGTACGCGGACGGCGGAGTCGCCGCGTCCGCGCTCGTGTACTGGGGCCTGGGAATAGCCGCTGCTGCTTTCCGCATGCGACGCGTGTTGCCGCGCCCGAGGAAGCTGTCTGCCGGGGCAGATATGGATACAGTTCCCTGTTCCGCCCTCGTCTGCGCTGCAAATGGGGCCAAGGTTGGCGCGATAACGTTGCGACCGGCGGGCGACGTTCGCCGGCGGGCAGCGCCATAAACAGTGTGATTTATTACGGGAAGTCCACAGGCGCCGGTTGCATCATGCTGTCGCACCTCACGCGGGTGCGCTTCCTACGCCAGCGAGGACCTGGAAGGCCGGCGTGCCGGTGCAGCCCGCAGGCCGTGTCATCAGCAGGCAGCTGACGCATCGGCCCTGTTTGCGGCGTAGTTGCCCGGATAAGCTGTCCAGTTCCAGCGTTGTTGTCGTTTTTCCTGTGGTTGAGTCACTGCGACAGCGCCAGGTGTTTAGGCCAGCGGGTAGTTGGCTTGTAGCCTGCTGGTCCCGGGAACACCGTGCCTGCTGTGGCCGGTTATCGCCGGCTTGCCCTTGTGAAGGGGCTTAACAAGCTGGTGGAAAGTTTGCGTTGGTGGAATTGACTGAGCAAGGCTGGGAATTGCAGTCAGATGAACCAAAATATTCATTTTTACCTAAAGTGACCTCGAGTGCAATTCCAATGCCAACAAGTGGGGCGGAAACGCTACCTGACCTGCTTCCGTTTCTCTGTGGCTGGTATCGCTTGGTGGTCGTTTAGGCTGGGCCATCCGAGGTCTGCCACTGTGCTTTTTGCACAGTCTAGCTGAGCGGTCGTGGCCCGGCAGGCGGCGGATCATCGCAGGAAGGCTCCAGCCGCGAGGGCAGCTTACTCGGACTGGTTCAGCCGGCGGGAGAATCCTGCGGAGGCGGCTTGGCGGGGGCTCTGAATGCCGACGTCGCCGGCATCTTCGCAGACGGCTGTTGACACTAGTGCTCGAACAGAACATGTGGCATTGATGCTGCTGTCTTTCGCTGCCCGGATGTCAGAGGTGTCATTTTTGCCAGCGCTGTGACGCGCAACATTGGAGACGTGCGCGCGTGTCGCAGCCGCTGCGAGTTTTGCCTTGGTGCCACCTTGTGCATTCGTGTGACGCAGACTTCCATTAGCGGTGGGGGTGCTCAGAGTGGGAACTGTGCACGGAAAGCTCATGGCCGTCGGCTTATCACGGCACGGAGTTGTGTTTGTTTATCAATGAATCGCCCACCGCTTACGATGGGATGACTGTCGGGGTCGATGCCTATGTTTGTGCTTGGTGAGCAGTCTGAAGTATGGCCGGGAATGCTGTAGCTACGCTGGACCCGCGTCTTGCCGGCATTAGCTTTTCCAATGCAATCCTGTGAAGTATGTCTAAAGGACTCAAAAACACTCGTGCTCTGCTTCGGACTTGAGGCCACGTTTCTCGCTCTGCGAGACATGGCATTTGGGCGTCAGGAAGAAACCCACATCGTGCATGTTCCTCACGCTTTTGTTGGATTTCAGATTTTTGAAATGATTGACGCGAATGGCAACCGGATCATCTCACCCAAAGAGTACAAAATCTTCTTCAAGGCCTACGGTCTCTCTGATGAGGTGAGTATGTGAGAAATATTGGCAAGTGATGTGGATGTCTTGGATCTGTGTATTTAGCCACAGCGGCGTGGAAGGATGCCAGTCTTTTCCCCTTTTTCAGCCTCGTGTTGGTTGTCAGTATGCCTACGGAGTACTGACATGTTCTTCGTCGCGACCTATGTGAAGGATCTTCTTTGCCCTGAAAACAAAGGTGGTCAAAAATCTCGGCGAGCTCTGCCTTTCAAAAATTCCACTGACACCCGGTTTGCCCCACAACGTGTGCCACGACCGCTTCCTCTCGATTTGTTCGAGTTCTGGAGAGGTGACCTCTGGTGAGCTGCCGGCTTATATGAATCGGCTTTGGTCCGGCAGCATCACGCGATCAGGTGTCATTGTCTTGTAGACAACTCTGCCGCCATGGTCTTGCAGACGGTATCTGTATGGCGGTGAGTACCTTTGCTGCCTACATTTGTTGGCTGTTTGTTATCGCTGTTTGTGCGCAAACTCACGTTCGTGTGCGACGTTCCAGATGGCCGAGAAATCGTTCAAGGCGATCGACCGCAATGCCGACGGCTTCCTGAGCATCGATGAGTTCGTGAACGTGGCCATCGACTTCCTGTACTCGGAGGACGAGACGACGATCGGCAAGGAGTTCTTCGGCACGCTGGTGGAGGAGCTGCCCGAGTCGATAAAGGAGCTCTCGTCCGAGGCGTAGGCGCCGCCCCGGCTCAGACAGCCGCGGGGCTCGAGCCGACCGCGCGGTGACCCGCGGTGACCGGCGACTGGGACCGCTGACGCGCGTCGGCGCGCCCCGCGCACCGGCGGGGTCGGGGGTGGGGCGGGCGCTCTCGTCGCTCTGTGAGCGGCGGGCGACACGGACGGGCGCGTCCGACTTCCATTCGTGCAGGTGTGAGGACTTGCGTGTCGCGCCGCGACAGCCGCGCATATGGTGGCCAGGCGCGGTGTTTGTTTAAGGTGTTGGGCGGTACCGGACTGATATTGTGGCCATGTAGCGTCGGGGGTGTGGTTTTGTATTGGCTTGGCGTATGACGTCGTTTTTCTACTGAGTTTCTTTACTGGTCGGGACTAGCCATACGCCCAGGAGATAGTGATGTAGCACAAAAAGCGTTCGGAGACTTTTGCCGCAGCATGGCGATTGTGGCTGGTCACTCTTTGTTTAAGTAATTACTGGCGTTAAGTTAACTGAGATTGGTTATCCAAGAAACGTTCGCTCTGTTCTTCCATGCCACTGTCATAGTTCAATCGTTTGTACATTATTACATGGTCACTCCAGGCTAGAAGGCAAGGTTTTCAGTACTCCCGAAATTCGTTTTTATGTGGATGGCACTGCGTTGTGTTTGACCTACGTGCTCAGCTATCGCCATTTGAATTGTTTTACTGTCTTTAGAATATATATTTTGTGAGGCTCGACGATGTGCTGGCGTATGACGTAATGTGGTGAAATATAACAATATATTTGTGATAATGTGACTGCAGAAAATGTTTCGTCGAGCACACCAACAACATCGCATGCAGACAACTGCCAAACCCCTTTCGTTCGATCGATGTCAACGTGAGTCGAAACGAATAACTGGCATAACTGCGGGGTTCTCTTGCCGAAGCACAATAATTCACAGCGTGTAAAAAGAAAACACGAACGTACGTCGACCTGTGGCGTGTCGTACATACACAGGTTGAGCCATGATCTATTGAGCACAACGGTCAGATCAATTGGCTGTCAGTAGGCACGTGACCACCGCCGGGGTCGATGGATGCCGGGGCTCAAAGCACGTCTCAGAAGACTGGGTCATTACTGTGTTTGACCGAGCAAAACAGCATCAGAGCAAGCTATGTGCGGTAGCCGTTGGTAGCGGTAGCCGTGCGGCCACGCTCGCGGCCAAGTCTCGCTCACTGAGGTTACTGAAGCCCACTGAAGCTCGCGGTTCGCAACCCGGCCGGACACTGGAAATGTCACGTGGTGAAACACGCCAGTGTAATACATCGACGGGTTTCACTCTGCCAGTCAACCAGAGGGCACACTATTTCAGGTCACGCCGGTAACATCATCGTAAGTGACGTGGGACATAAGTCGGTTTAAGAGTGAAGAACCACAAGCATGTTGCCCCCTTGTTACCAAAATTTTCCGTAACTCAGCCCAAGGGGTAGCCAGGGGGGGGGACATGGAACGCTTACGCTCTCCAAGAAAAATACTGACTGTGCATGAAGACGTGGACAAGTGCACAACACCTTACAAGGGATAGGCTAGAAAGAGTACTTTAACGCATGGTTTTGCTTTTTCATTTATAGGATTAAATGGGGAAAAGCAACAAAGCGCTGTTTAGCGTCTGTCAAAGTCGGGTTCCCGATCAAGAACTTTAGACACAGCTGGCTGGGATGGGGGACGAAGAAGCACTCATTAGTGAATCGGCGTGCATCATGACAGCTGCGCGTTCGCTCATCATGACAGCTGATGTATTCGTTCATCATGACAGGTGATGTGTTCGCTCATCATGACGGTTGATGTGGTCGCTTATCATGACAGCTGTGCGTTCGCTTAGCATGACAGCTGATGTATTCGCTCATCATGACAGGTGATGTGTTCGCTCAGTGATCGATCGGCTGACGGGATGTTACGGCCTGCTTCGTAGGTGAAGTGCGAAAAACGCAACAGATCGCGGCTTGGGCCTGAAGCAACCATTAGCGAAGTGGTTTGTACGACAGTGAGAGAAGTGGTCTACTGACAAGGACTATACTCTAGTGGCATGGCAAGATCAGGAAGGAGCCGCTTTTGAAGAGGGTCAAGGCCTGACCAGTAACCGGAGGCGAATCATGAGGAGCGTGATTTGTTGACAAGATCACTGACAGGAGCCCCCGCCTGAGCACGAGGAACCATTACCGAAGTGGCTTGCATAACGGCATGGCACAGAACTCAGCCCATTAGGAAGAGGTCTGTTGACAGGAACATGCAACCGTTAGCGAAGTAGCCTGTATCCTGTTCACTAATGAGACATAACGACGTTGTGGCACATTCTGAAGGAAGGACTGTACTCCGGCTCTACCACTGGGCCTGGGGTAGTCAATGGCAAAGCAGCATAGAACATTGAGTGTCCAGAGCCAACAGCATATAGCGGTGGGATGGAAGGGGGGGGGGGATGGAACCCTTGCCGAGAGGCAAACTGGACCCCTCCCCACCCTTCCCCGGCTACGAGGCGAACGTTCCGCCAGATGAGTCCCACCGTTCCAGACCAGAATTACCTGCACCCGGGGAACGTGGCGGTACCGGAAACCCGGTACCGCCATGAGCCAACCGGCGGGTGTTCACTCGAGCTCAGACCACAAAGATTAGGACGGGCCCAAGCAGAGAATGTGACGACGTAACGACGCAGTGCAATAGGGCCGGTGTTATACATGCACATCAAGCGGTAGGTGTTTTGTTAACGAACCAAGCAGTGTCCGTCAGGAACGACGATGCGAACGAGTGCATGAGCGAACCTGCGAACGTGCAGCCCGTCAACGAGCGAGAATGGCCCGCATCAGGGAACGTATTTTGCATCAGTTTTCTGGCTGGAGCCTCTGGTTTTCTAGCACGTCCTATGCCGTTGTCATCTTCGCCTTTCACAGGCAACAATCCAGCCGGGTGAGAAGCCCGCGTAGGACCCCTTCTCCGCAGGGCGTTCGCCGGAAAGAGGGCGACTACAGCACCGTCGCCCTCGAAACACCATTTCCTCTCTGATGGGAATGGGTGGGGATGGGTGGGAAAGCGACGCCGATTGAACTCTTCGGCGGGCGGTGTCGTCTGGTGCGATTGCTGCAGCGTCGTCTCACGCTAGGTGGGCAACCGTCCCCGATGGTGCTGGCTCAACGGCGTCCTCTATATTCGACAGGTGGCGCCCGCGTCGCGCTCGCGTCCAGACTTCCGTTGGCCGGCGAGGAGCCTCAGGAGACTGGGCGGGATCGAAGGGAACCGGGCGGGACAAGACGGGATTGGTCGGATCGGGACTGAGCGGTGCCGGGTGCCGACGCTGGGCGGGATCGAAGGGAACCGGGTGGGACAAGTCGGGATTGGTCGGATCGGGACTGAGCGGTGCCGGGTGCCGACACTGGGCGGGATCGAAGGGAACCGGGTGGGACAAGACGGGATTGGTCGGATCGGGACTGAGCGGTGCCGGTTGCCGACGCTGGGCGGGATCGAAGGGAGCCGGGCGGGACAAGACGGGATTGGTCGGGTCGGGACTGAGCGGTGCCGGGTGCCGACACTAGGCGACACTGGACGGAATCGGACGAGACCGGGCGGGCTGGACGGGATCAGGCGGGACTGGACAGCACAGTTCTGAAATGTATAGGACCGGGGAAATCTAGAGCTCCGATCAGACGGCGATGGGCCGTGCCGAGTCGGACTGTGTCGAGTCCCGTCCACCTGCGTACGTTTCTGTGCGGTGTTGTCCAACCGTGCCCGGATCTGTCCCGTCCCATCTTGTTCCGTCCTGTTCCGTCCCATGGCCTCCAGGTAGTGCAGTCCCGTCCTGTCCTGTCTGCGGAAGGTTGGAGATATACTCCCGGAACGGAAGTTGTACTTGGCATTAAGTCTTCGCGTTGAGTGCACACGCATGAAAAACAGGCTGCCGGAATGTCCCGGAACACCTATATTAGGAAGAGATGCGCTGACAATACCTACGCTCATTAGAGCTCTGGCCGAAATACCTCCGTCCAGGATACCTCCTCTCTTAAGACCTACGTTCGCGCCGCCGCAAGAGGAACTTCGCTCGGAAGACCAACGCCCGGAAGGCCTACTGCTGTGATTTGAAAACTGCAAGAATCAAAGTATTTACAAGCGCAAGAGCTAGCGTCCGTCTAAAAGTCCTGGACCTTCAAGGTCACCCCTCAAGGTCAAATGCGGGCTAAAAAGGACGGGGAACTCAATACCACCCAAGCATTACCGGCCGATTTGTAACTTGAAACATCAAAATATTCACAAGTTTAAGAGCTAGCGTCCGTCAAAACGTCCTGACCTCTCAAGGTCATCCTTCAAGGTCGAACTTAGGCTCAAAGGATGCGGAGCTCCATATCACCAAAAATTACCGGCCGGTTTTCAACTTCCAGACAACAGAATATTCAACACAGAAAGAGCTAGCGTCGGTAAAAAAGCCCTGATTTCTCAAGGATGACCGTCAAGGTCAAAGCCTGGCTCAAAAGACGGGGAACTTCATTACACCCAGACATCCCCACCCGATTTTAAACTTGCAAACATTAGAACATTCAACACCGAAGGAAATAGTATCCGTCAAAAAGTCCCGACCTCTCAAGTTCATCTTTAAAGATTAAATTCAAGCTCAAAGACGGAAAACTCAATATCACCCAAAAATTACTGGCCGATTTTAAACTTGCAAACATCAGAATATTTAGGACAGAAAGAACTAGCGTACGTCAGAGGATCTTGCCCCCTAAAGGTCACCGTTCAAAATCAAATGTTGGCTGAAATGACGGGAAACTCCATATCACCCAACAATTCCCAGCTGATTTCAATTTCCAAACATCAGAAAACTCACCCCCCCCAAAAAAAAAACTAGCGTCCGTCAAAAGGTTCTGACCTCTGAACGTCATCTTTCAAGTTCAAATTCATGCTCAAAGTATGGGAACTCTACATCACCCAAGAATTGCCCGTCGTCTTTAAACTTGTAAGCATCAAAATATTCAACACAGAAAAACCAGTTTGCGTCAAGTAGTCCTGACCTCTCAAGGCTATCTTTCAGGGTCACATTCACGCTCAAAGGACGGGGAGCTCAATCACCCAAAAT